TTTTCGTCAATTGTCAGCAGACTTGGCATTCTGAGAGGCATCATCTGAAAGTTGCCAGTTTTTTAATTTTTTTTAAAGATTTTTTATTAGTAGCGGTATACAACCTTACGAAATCATCAACTGATTTTTTATAAGCCTCACAGTTATTGTTTCAATCGAACATAACCTCAACTAGAAAACAAAAATTAGTTCTGTGTTTCATTTTCGCGTTAATCAACATTTTAAATTATCATGTAATATGTGAGTTTATAATGTGAACTCTGTAGAATTCCCAAGCTAATTAAGTGCAATTTAGCAATTATACTTAAGCACTTACACTTTCTTACTTACTAATCTAATTTATTTAATATATTGTACATAATTTTCTTGCTTAGTAATCAATATCTTGCAATAGTATTATTAAAACAATTTATAAAACTTACAAACCAAGTATTATTACGTATAATCGCCATGAACGGTAATTACTCTGCATAATTTCACTACACTTTATAGCCTTATATGTACTTAAAAATGTCTTAAGAAATCTTTACAATTGTATCTACTGTATCACTATCTTCATTTATATAGTTAAATAGTTTTTATTTATATGGATATTGCTCCATTTTACAGTCTAGAATGAGCCCATAGAACAATATAATGATTACTTGACTAAGTGCTACCATTTATAAGCACAAAGCAAACATTTAATCAATTTGCATGCGTAAGTTGGCATATTCTGGAAATCGCCTTAATTTCAGTACAATAAATCAAGCATAACTTCAGCATATAATTCACATCAGATAAAGTCATGCCATTCCAGTTGAACAATAATTACTTTACAAGTTTATCTTGAATGTAAAATTGCGACTTGCAAGTGTTTACATAAGCAATGCAGCAGCACTGCAATGCAGCATAAAAGTTTTGTGTCAAATTTGTGTACGCCCAACATTGCAACTTGTCTAGAGTCGCACGCCCACCAGCAACTGCAAATATCAATTACATTAAAACACAAAATATTGAGTACTGATTGCGTACAACGATAAGGATACGCATGCCGGGTGGTGGCAGGAAAGCTCTACCGACACTACAAAAATACCCGCAAAGCACAAAATCAGTGCGAAACGATTTGCTACACTATTAAATAGATGCAAAAAAAAAAAAAACATAAGAACCATTTGAAAAAATTGTAGAAAAGGAAAATTAAATTCCCAGAATGCATGCAAGAAATGCCTAGAAGCGTTCACTCATACAACGTCTGGTGCTCAGATTGTAGTGCAAATTTTGCCAATGCTTAGGGCTGCCAACAATACTTCTGTCTACTTCAAGTTTTCTACTCATTTTTTGTTGTCCTGGAAGTCTACAAATAGTGTTCATTTTGACTTAACACAGACTTTCACAAATGTTTGTTTTATTTTTTTTTTTTTAATTTTTTTTTCAAACTGATTTCATTGCTATATCCTTACTTTTTATTTATATACATATGTAATCATATGTAAGCTCGTTCATGTTTGTTTGCTTATATATTCATACATGAGTAATTTTTGTTTATACATGAAAGTGTGTAAATATGCAGTTGAGTTCATTTGGAGAAACTCGTAAAGCAGCAATTGAATTTTATCAGCAAATAACTTAAAATAACTACAATACCAACAACAATTGCTTCATGAAGCACAATAAAAATAACAAAAATAATAAAAACTAACATTACAGCACTTGTGCAAACATACTAGCAATGCAAACACACTACCAGACTTAAGTTATACATTTGTTCACTTTATTATTATGTTACGCATACGCACCGTGGCCCCTGCATGTCGAACTGTGTGTTATGATGTGAAATCCTTTCAATAATATTCTTATTGAGTTAACATTTTCATGCTCAGTGTATGAAGAAGTTTCAGCAAATTATTTTTATTTGTATATTATGAACTTACATGAGCATTTCATGTAAATTCATTGTAAACAATTTATAAATTAAAGCTGATTTTGTTGGATTTTAAGAGAATTGAATACAAAAATTTCAATTTAATTAAATCACACAAGTATAAAAAGTATTGTTTATAAACATAAATGCCATGTAACATAAATGCCTAATATTAGTAGCATAATAACTCAGTTAAGTAATGAAAATTTGTTTGTTTAATGCAATTAATATTTGTAACATTAACACCAAAAGCTCAGCAATATATAACATATAATAGAAAAAAAAAATATTAAAAAAAAAATTTAATTTGAAATATATACTCACCGATATGGTTATAATAACCGATTATAGATTTAGAATAAATATTTATAGAAATTATTTATAAAGTTATAATTCTCAACGCATATATTTAACAACTTGATGAAAAAAGAAAACTTTGTAGAAAGAAAAAAAAGAAAGAAAAAAAAGAAAACTTTATAAAACATTGTAGAAAAACTACAATGCTTTATAAATAGGCGTCTGAAAAACATTCTACAACTGTGAAGGTTTAGAATAATTTCAAGTGAAAAGATATTGAGAACTGTCAACCTGTATAACATATATAATGAATTTAAAAAAGGATAATATTGTTGTGTGCTTTTAACCATATTTCTTTTCACCAAAACTATTCTCATTCATACTCATACCTTATGATGACATTCCTCATGAAAAGTTACTAAGAAGCTGTAAGATTGAAGACAGCCCGAAAAAACACAGCTCTAACTGAAACTGGGTAATCGTCTTTAAGAACTACAATAGCACGCAATAAATGAAATTGAAAATGTGTTGTGAAATCCTTGCATTCCTAAGAAAAAGTGTGTAAATAATGATAATTATTTTATAAAACACTACATTTACATTAGGTTTGTCAGGAAGGAATTGCAGGATTATCGGGAGTGTACTGAAGATTTGGCAGTCTACATTAGCGAAAGAGAGTGTGAAAATAGTGGGCTCTAAGATATTTTCAGTTCATACATTCTCTATGTCACGAGCACATTTCAAATTAAATCTAACACATTTCCTTTGCCATAGATATATCAAATCTGTATTTGTGTTAAGCTAGATTAGATCAGTAAGGTTAAATGAATTTAAACTATAGTAAAAAAACTTACACAAAATGTTTAGGATCCAATATTTAATCTTTGCCACAGAAAATATTAGTGTATTTGTAGTATTGAATTTTCAGTTAGATGGTTTAAACGGATTTTTTTCTATTAATGTGTCATATTTCACACTCTTTAGTTAAAGTTATTAAAAATAATCACCACTTTACACACACTAGTGTTGTTGCTGTTGTTAATTGTTGCTGTTGTTAATACATGCCTACAATTTTTACGATATTACGACTTTTAAAACAACGGAATACATCCAACTAAATGATAAACAAATACCCAATATTGCTTATCAAATAAATAAGTCACAGTTTCAAAATTTTAGACTGTATTTATATTTTTCTATTTAATACCTATAATTCCTATCAACTACACTTTACACTTTATAAATATAACACCTTTTTATATTGAGTTTTATTTAAATATAATATACTTAATTTATAACTATAAATTAAGTGAACTATATGTTATCTTGTTTCGGAATACGAATCTGATGCTTGCATGCATTGATAATAATAAAATAAATGTTAACGAGAGTAAGTGATATGACACATCCTCTAAGCTCTTAAGCATTAACTTTTTTGATGTTAGCCAATCTTTTGTTAATGTTAACAACTTGAATATTAGCTTAAACGTTAATTACTTTTAAAAGCAAACAGACAAGGGCAGTAATATTGTAGCCTGAGAAATTCTCACGATAAGGATAGGAGATCTCTGAACATGAAATATAATCACTTTCGATTTGAATGAAAATTTTTTTTTTCTGAGAGAAGGAAATTTTTATGTAAAACGAAGAGCTGATAAAAAAATTCGCCTATATCGGAGAGTGACGAGGTCGAAAGCCGTTCTACTTGTAAAGGAATGACCCATATGCAGGTTTCATTTCAGTTTATTATACCTTATACCAACTATGAGAATACTTAACGGTAAAGAAAATATAGATGAGAATTTAATAAGTATCTATTCATTTATTTATTTATGATTTAACATTTAAATTAATTTTAATGTTAACTAAGCATAAGGAACTGGACTGCTAGGCCCTACGCCCCAATTTAGTAAATAAAAATTAATACTTATTTTATTTTTAAATATTTAATTGATTTAAAAATCACATGCAACTCCCAACCATATGGGAGTTGCATATGGTTGGCTATATGGCTTTAGCAAAGCACTTGCCGATAAAAGGAAAGATTTTGTTGTCTATCATCCTTAATAACTGATACCCTTTCTCTCTCTCTCTTTAACAACAATAACTCCATTTTCTTCATTCAAATATGAATAAATATTGAGAGTACTTTATTGTAGGTCATACCACACAGACTCATGTAGATAATTTTACCACAGGTACGCATTTTGAATGACTTTGTCAAATTTCGCTGCCACAACTGCAGTCCATAAGAGAATAAGTGATATAGAATAATGATGTTTTAGACTTATATTATATAGGCTTCTAAATGATCAGACAAATAATATTTAATTTCTTCGTTTACCCGTATGCAATTTTTGTCTATTTAATCTATTTTCAGTTGCCATTATATGTGCTCAAAAGGGGTTTGATATAGAAGTTTGCCACTCCAACTTAGCTTAATTTAAGCTATTTTATATGTGACTGAGACATATCACAAATGCTAACACGAATTTTTAAATTATTATACTAATAATACTAATACAAAAATAATTTTATTTAGTTTACATAAAACTGCATAAAACGAAAACATTATATCATATAATAGAAATTGATTTTCATTTAAAATTTAATTTTAAATAAAAATCCTTAAACTTTAAAGCTTTCTTTGAAATTCTATGGAAACATACACTTTAATTGTATTTTAATATGAATTTGATTTTTATAACTTTTACCAATTTATTTTAATGTATCTTTACTTCTTTTCTTGCTACTTCATTCATCGTAATGGGTATGCTGCCTTACATTTATGCGTGTACAGTACCAACAGCTACTATATTGGGTGGCCCCGATTTGTATGTGGATAAGGGAAGCACAATTAATCTGACATGTGTAATAAAGTTCAGTCCCGAGCCACCGACACACATTTTCTGGTATCATCAAGATAAGGTAAGCGCTAAAGTACATGTCAAGAAATAATATTAAAACAAAGTGAAAGGAGAGAAATTTAAAAACAAAATAAAAATAAAAAGTAATTGCTTTCATATAACACGACATACATTTTACGCCTGAGGTTCTTGCCTGTACTTATTGCTACTTAAAAGCACTTTTTTCTTGCGTATGTTAACTTTTTATTTACTTTGTTTCTTTTGATTATATTCAGTAACGCGTTATATGAGGCTGGTAGGAAGTTAATATGGGAAAAAAATAAGGTATTCATATAAAAAAGTATAAAAATATTCATTAAAAGATTAGTACGCAATTTGGAGATTTGATTAAGAAAATAGAAGGAAGAGCCCAATTCGGGTTTTATTCGTTTCATTTATAAGAAAAAAAACATGTGTAGAAAAAAATGTGTTACTGAACAATTTAAGAATATATTTATAATCGATTTTTAATTATTATAATTTGTTAAAGTTAAATTAAAAGGAAAGAGTACAGTTTGAATGAAAGTTCATAAAGTTTAATTCAATATTGCATTTGTCAGTGTTGCTTTTCTTTTCGCGAGGAATAAAAATAACATTTTGTTAATATTTTTAGTGGAAAAAGTTGATCCTGATATAACTTTAAATAAGTTTTCGTTTTGCGTTTCAGTTTCAGTTTTCTGACACCAAATCGCAAAATGCATAAAAAGTAAGCATGCAATTGAAAGCGCATTGTTTTCTGCGCCCCATTTAAATTGCATTAGTGGCTTCAGCTTCGCCACTTTCAACAATTGATACTCCGCCTGCTAGTTTTGGTGGGAGATACGCTTCCAGCTCTTACAGCATTGGTAAATAGTATTGCTACCAGACGAAAAGTTAACGGAAATCAACTGAAATGCTGATTTTATCGCATGTTTGGATTTTTTTGTTCGCAGGAAGAACATAAAATGAATCAAAATGGCATATCGTTGGGGAGGATACCAAAGTATTTACTTAATGCATAAAATTCACTTTGGTTTTTCCAACTTTTTTAGCTTTAATTTTATGATTTTTTTATTTGTTCTTGGGATGTATACTTTATTTTTTTTTTGTTTTTTTGTTTTGTTTTATCACAATATCATATTATGTGGAAAATTATTTTGAAGATCAAAACTTGATTTTAGTGATAATAAAAATACTGTAAAATCTTTTTATTTAATCTTTCTTCACACAAATGCGTGCTTTGTTAACAAAATATTTCAGCATCATTTACAGCACATTGGCGCGATTATCGGAAATTGTTTTCAATTGGCAGCAATTGCTTATTGTCGCCTCTTTCTTTATTGTCGCGTTTCTCTCGCACTCGTATACGTTGCCATTGTAATTTTTGTTTATCTTCTTCTTGTACACTTTAACAGGTTCTTAGCGAGGAATCTTCCGGCGGACGTCTTAAATTTAAAACTATTAAATCTGAGGAAACGAAATCGGTTTTGCTCATCGATGAAGCTGATATGCTTGATTCTGGCAAATACTCCTGCTACCCTTCAAATACTGAGACAGCAAGCATACGCGTTCACGTTTTACAGGGTGAGTAAGAAAAATTTAGTGTCATTTAAATTCTGAATTTGTTTTCATAATATTTAACTATGATGTGGAATATTGAATAGAATATATAAAAGTTAATTTTGAAAATAACAATAGGGTGAAAACTGCTAAGCTATAATAAAGAACTTGAATAAATATAAAATAAAAAAAAAATAATTATTTGAAAAATAAAAATTAGAAAATTTAAAAATAATAAAAACATTTGTTATTCAATCTTTCACTCACGATACAAATATATACTAATAATATTGTTGAAATCATGACCACAATAGAACAAAACAATATAGTGGTTACTATACTCATATATAAATGAAAGTCTAGGTACCACTCACTTATTTACCAATGAATAAAAATATGCCATAAAGAAACAGATACTTATTAGTTCAACAAATAGTTTTCGTTCACTATTATAGGTCAATGTTTGATAAATAGATGTTCACGTAGCGAGGTTATACTCGGATGCTTTCAATAAAGCCATCTGCAAAAATTGTAGGATTGAACAATAATTTATCGAATTTATCGAATGCATATCAAGCTATTTCTTGTGTTTGGGATACTTTCTAAATGTTTTTAAAATGAAATTCAGTGCCCTGTACAGACGTCATTATAATGACAAAATATTGCAATGTACCTTGCCTAATGAGTATTGTGGTATAACAATTGCATTCAGTGTACTTATTATTACCATAATAATTAACTCTAACTTAACTTAAAAAAAGAGAAATTTTTAATTGAAAAAAAGAAAACTTTTATCTCAATACAGTCACAATAATAAAAGGATATAGGAGCCAAATTATTAGATCATAATCTATTTATCTTCCTCTATTGATATAAACCTCTCTGTTAAAAACAATAGTTTATATTAAGAATTTATTTTCTCTCGTTAAAACGTACGTAAAAAATCAATTTAATATAGAATTATTATTGAATAAAATATAAATAAAAATATTCATTGAACTTTCCAAATCGTGGAGTAATATTAGCACGACTGTTTCCGTATTGCGTTCCTAGATTCTCAAGAAAGAGTTAAGTTATACTAATAATTAAAAATAAAATGTATGCGAAATTATTTAATTTAATTTTTTCCATAACTGGTTCATGATTTTGTTCTAATATGTAACACAGCTAGTACATTTGTTAATGAACTTTCACTGCAAATTAACAAAACTTCGTGTACAGCTTTGAATCAGTTGACTAATAAGCACTGACTCTGAGCTTCAAATTTTGCAGGGTACGAGTTCAACTCTTGGTAAAATTATTTACAAATAATTAAATATAACAAATAATTACAAAAGACTATAATACTGTTCATGGATGTTTGACAATACTCGAAATAACTGCATGATCCGCCAAAAATTCAATCAAGTAAAATAAAGAGGGTTTTCGAACAGTAGTGAACTACAACAACAAAAATTTTATTTTTTATGTTATTTTAATTAATTGCATTTTTGGCTGACAGCTGTATGCAGTTTTGAGTATTGCCAAATACCCATCATTAGTGGTCTTGGAAATAATTCTTGTATTTAATTATTCGTAAATAATTATTTTTGAGACTGCAAGTACCAGGAATCGAACTCGGGTCCTGCCAAATAAAATAATAATAAAAAGTTTTTGTTGTTGCAATTTCACTGCTGTTGGATAAAAAACTCTATATTGAAAACAATTGTTTATATCAGGAATTAATCGGACCATTTAATACAATCTATTTATCATATTATAAAGATGCAGAAATTAGAGTACATAATTCATTAAGCTACTGATTTGTCTTTACATATCCAAAACAAAGATCTTGCATGAAAATTTATATTGCTTTTATAAATTAGGTTAAACAGAGCATTACTTTGTAGGGAAACTTCATTATAAAATGTAGTTAATAGTAAACCGTAGGTATATTTATTATTAATTACTAAAACTTAAATCTTAATATTTAAAGAATATGTTGACCAATATAAAATAATCAAAATAATTAATTTAAAAATTCTTCAATTTGTGGTAAGCACATAATATAAAAAAAAATATATGCTTACACTCCTCTTGACATTATCAGAGACCCAATTTTGTAAAGTACGTACTTTTGTGTATAATACATAACTTACGAAATGATTTCAATTTAGAGCACCAATGTAAGTGAAATACACAAAATTGCATCCGCAAGTATTTCAGCGATTAAACGTGCCTCAGCTGCCTTGTAAAAAATTCCAAATATCAGATTTTACATACATTTTTAATTTTAATTTTCTTGGCATTTCAGCACAAAAACTTACTACAACGTCTATAGCTTTTTGTGTACAAAAGGATGTAGTTTACTTTGTAAGAAAAATATATACACAAATATCACTAAACTAAAAAAGTATTTAGAGATATTATCTAATATATCTACAACCACATACTTAAGCAGCATATCAAAAGTCAGTTAGCAGAATTACTTGAAAAGCGAGCTTAAAACGTCTTGCCTTCAACTTTTTCTTTGACAACTAAAACATGTAAAATCATTATCTGAACTCTGATCGCTCTACATACAAGTAAAGGCAAAACATAAGTGCCTTCAGTGCATTCAGTGCATTTTGTCTTGCATTATTTCAGCTGCTAACATTAGTTCAACTGCATTTTAAGCATTGTTCCTTCAAGTGGAAGAACACACTTAACTTAAAAAGCAAGTTCTTAACCTATTGAATATCATAAATGATATTAGATAATATTAGAACACTTGAAGGTTTTCAATATAATTTAATACTTCAATACTTAAGTTGTGAATATTACGTATGAATGTTGTGAATATTACGTATAGCAATTTAAATATTAAACGGATAATACGGTATTTTTATTTATATAGAAATTTATTCAAGGTATTAACTGAGGTGATTCTTTATGCAATTTAAAATTAATAAATAAATGCACTTATTGGTTTTTATAAGTATATTGTTTGCCAATACTTCAGCATTCTGTAGTGACAACATAATTTGGTTGCTACGTGCAGTGTGTCAATGTATCTTGACGGTTTCTTGGTTCAAGAAACAAAAATATTCCGAGATATTAATTCATTAGAATAACTTATGTTCACAATACAGCTTCAAAGCCATAAATCTTGAAAATTAAGCTAATGTGCCATATGGAAATAGTTTCTCAAAGTTGCCGATATCAATAAAATGTTGTGCATATTCTAATATATTGTAAATACGAAGACTGCTTTTTAAGTCTTGCGGCTAACAATGACAATACAGTGATTAATCCATGAAAATTATTTAATTGTTAATGGAAGTATTCTCCATTCTAATCAATACATTTTGCATTCGGTTCAACTAATTTTTAACACAGATTTTCTAGGTTTTCAATACTTCAGCGCTCTGTTGTGGCCAAGAAAAACGCTCGTCATGAATTTTTTTCATAATGTTTAGGAACAAAAAGGAATGCTCAAAAACTCATTTGTTTGAGCTGATAACTACAGTTGCCCTAGTGGATCTGTAGATCAACATAAGCAAAACATAGACATGCACGATTAAGTCAAATCACACTCCCACTTTCATAATCTGTAAAACCAACATTGAAGTCGTTGAAAATTTCTGCCACCTTGGAAGCATGATAAATCCAACGGGTGGCGCAGCCATTGACGTACGGAGCAAAATTAACAAAGCAAGATCTGCATTTGGAAGTTTCCGTAACATCTGGAGCTCAAGCGAATTATCTCCGAAAACCAAGATCAATTCTGCTGTATAGCTCTAAAATATGGCACTGCATTTAGCCGCATGCTGCAGTCTTTTACCAATAGATGTCAGCAAAATATTAAGAATTAAGAATTTGATGGTCCTGTGTGCTGGACAATAAAACTCTGCTGCAACTCACAAAAACCACAAAAACATCAACGTGCAAATAAAACGACGAAAATACAACTGACTCAGGCAGAAATTAAGCAAACCCTACAAAGAGGTCTCTCATGCTGCCTTACAATGGAACCCACAAGGCAATCGAAGACCTTTTACACCAAAGACTCACTTGATTAAAAATTAAATTTGGGTTTAATAAATTATTTCCATATTAACCTTAATCCATTCGAGAATAAATTTTTTGACAAAACAAAAATTGTAATTTTTCTAAGTCTTACGAATAGTATTACAGTCGACCTGAGAAATACTCAAATATTGTAGTATTATACAAATTTCAAACCGGAAATAATTTAACTTTTTTAACATCCGTACGAATTATACAAGCAATATTCAAATAATAAATTTTATTTAAAATAAAGTTTTTTTGGGAGAAATATTTAAGATTTTATTAACATTTTGCAAAGTTTCATCTACGTTCCAATAACTTAAGGGGATCCAAGTCTGCCATAAACAATTCGCAACAAAAATTTATCAAAGCTTTTCTAATTTTGTCCACCAAAGAAACTTTTTCATACCTTCATTTCATTATATACTTTTCACTTAGACTGCATTTTCGAAATGAGTTTCGTACGAACTCCGATATTTTATGTCAAGTCAAAGTTTTTCTCTAAATTTGCAAAATGGCATAAACTTTTATGCACTTTTGAACTAACTATGCTGCACTTAAGTACTCATAAACTAAATTACTCACATTCAATGTGAACTGCAACAATAACTTTTGCCAAAATAATTTTTTTTTGTTAATTAAAAATTTCTTATATTTTAATTACAATTTATATTTTCTATGATTAAACTAAGTTCTCACATTTGGTATTTTTTTTTTCTTTTTTTTTTAACAGGTGAGCGTCCCGAGGCTATGCAAACAAATTCAGCACCGGCAACAATCTATAAAACCGCCCTCTTACAAACGCCTTCAAAAGGCAAACTACTCAGTCTAATAGTCAGTGTGTTTTTAGTGTGGCAACTAACTACGACAACACTGAGTTGCCTCTGTGCAATGCTCTACAGCGGCAATATTTGTGGTAAATCTTTAAAGAGTAGAAGTCAATACAACGCGCCTGCAGTTATGGCACCATTGGAACCATCGCCACACATCACGGAAGCTGGCAAACGGCAAAGAAACCACACCAAATCCAATTTCGTTGACCACCAAAATGCGCGGCAAGTTACGCGGTGATAAATTAATTGAAAGATTCGCTAACTAGCTTAACGGTGTGGCAACTCTGCACTCAAAGTCATTTGTATAAACACTCAAAGTTAGATTTGTGGTTAAAGCAAAATTAATGGAAATAAATATTAAAAGTGGAATAAATTTAAAACTAAAATAAAAGTGTAAATCATAAGAACTAAGTTTAATTAAAAATAAGTAATTACTCAAAATGAGTGCAAAGGTATAAAATACCTATAAATTTATTTATTTTTTTTTTTATTTTATTTTATTCTAGTTGTATATTATATCATTTCTGAATTTATTGTTGACTTGTATATTTAATTAAATTTAAATTTTTGTTCTTTCTGAATTTTTATATATCTAATTTATTTTATTTTTATTAAGTTAGATTATTGTATACTTTCTGTAGTTACCTTAAAGTATATTTAATATAGATAAGGTTAACTATTAAGAATATTGTAGGTTACTAAGGAACATATTCATTAAAAAGAAATATTATTAAGAATATACTATACAGTAAAGAAATTAAAAAAAAATTAAAATTTTAAGTATAAAATAAATATTAATATTCCTTATTTATATTAAATACTGAAAAATTTCTTAAAAATATTTTTTTTCATGTTCAATTTAAAATAACCAATTTTTAATTAGAGAATTCTATACTGTGGTTTCTAAATTACTAAATTCCATTATTAGTAGAACTTTTAAGACACTTTATTTATTTTTGTTTTTTCTATATTATATAAATATTAACAAAAATTTTTTTTCCATATAGCGTTTTGTACTATATATATAATATACTATATATGCAACATGCATATCACATTTATATATATGTATAAAAGTTACTATAATATATATATATTATATTATAAATATATATATATATATATATATACTATATATGTAGGTATATAATATAATTTATATACAGAATTAGACGATTGAAGTGTTATCTATTCAAGCGACTATATTTTTTTTGTGCGAAATGATTTTTTTTATATTCAAATTAAAAAAAATTTATGAAAATAATTAAAATTTCGGAATTCATTCACTCTAGCTCAATGTGGCAACCTTTTCTCTTGACTATGGTCTTCAAACGGTTAAAAAATGAGTTGCATGCTTCACGAATGTGATCCTCTGGTATTTTGGCCCATTCCTGAATAATAGCTTTTCTTAGCGCATCTGACCTAATTTCTAGTCCTTATCTTGCTCCGCCAAATGGTCCCGATGAAATAGTCCTCCGGATTTGTATCTGGTGAATTCGAAAGCCATTGTGTGGATGAAATAAAGTTTGGAACCTGATTTTTTAACCATTCATAGTTCACACAAGCTTTATAAGACGATGCCGAAATTCGTTGATCTACGATCGAAATTTTTGCATACCAACGAATCTAAAGCAACTTCTAAAACATTTTTCTGATAATAAGTTGCATTGACTTTGACACCAGACTCTATGAAAAGGATTGAAAGGCGTCCAAGGGCGGTCACAGCTGCCCATACCATTACTCGAAATGGAAAGTTCCTTCGGGTAGCCATTCGCCGTCTTAAATTTTTGGCAGTTGAGATCATCATCAGGAAATTTTGTTTCAGAGAACAAAATGTTTAGAATTTCGACACGTTTATGCAGGCGTAACAACTCCTTAGCTCTTTTGAGTCTTTGAATCTAACTTTTTGTTGCTTAGGTGTATGATCTTGTACCTTTTGGAACTTGTAAGGATTTACTTTGAGCTCATTTTAAAATATGCGTCGGATGTTTTGCTGGGATATTTTTAGTACTTTAGTCATTTGATTACCACTACGATGTGAAGATCGTTCAAGTCCAGTCTTCACTTTCCGTACCATTTCAGGTGATGTTGCTGCTTCAAACCATACCGTTTGACGACGCTGTCTGTACTATTGTAACGTCTTATGGGACGATACTCAATAATTTTTTTACTTTGAGGTATTTGAACTCACGAATAATAACAGATTGTGATTCTCTAGCCAAATATAATAGAATCACACTATTACAGTTGAAGTCCATGTCGAATAAATTTTGTTCCTTAAAACTTAGACACAAATGTTTGTGGAAGCTTGTAAACAATATAAACAGCTGTCATTCGTATGAATTTCATGTATATATATGGATATTTATATATATAGTATACAGTATATATATATTAAGTATATATATTTACTTACAATACATAACTATGCACACAATATATAATATATAAAATTTTAGTTTTGAGTATTATTTGAAAAAAATAAAAATATATTTTTGGTATAGAACATGTAAATTTTTTCTGTACGACAAATCTAATATAACAAAAAGTACATAGTTATATATACTATATTTCAAACAATAGTTTGAATTTATTTTGTTTAAATTTAATACTCTTTTCTCATTATTAATTGTTTTTTTTTCATATTTTTTTTTATGTTTATCCAAAACTCTTTGCTCTCTGAAGAGCAAAAGTACTGATATTTATTGTATATAAACAAAAAAATGTTACTGCTATTCATACTTTATTTATAAATATAAAACTCAAATATAAAAAACTTTAAAAAAACAGAAATAAACTCAACATATTTTAATATCCAATTTTATTAATATTTTTTTTAATAATATATTCCAATTTATATATATGAAATTCATCATATTTTTTGGATTGGTTTTGTAATTCACATAAACTTAATTTTTTTGTTGTCCACAAATGTTCTAAAAAATTTTACAATATAATGATATATTTTTTTTCTCTATAAATGTATTTTAAAACTATTATTTATTTTTTTATTTGTAATTTTTGACTGTCTTTAACTAATAATAATTTTAGGATTGTATGCAAAATATGTAATTTAAGCAAAAATATTTGTAAAGAGATAAAGGTAGTAATAAATTATATTAATATAAACATACATACCTATGTTTAGTATATATTTAAGTGTAAAATTCTATGCATCTCTAAGTGTGTACTGTGTTCTTTTTAATTACTTCCGTAAGCAATAAAATATTATTTTCTATATACATATATATATATAAATATATACATATAAAATATATATTTAAATATAAATCAAAAAATTTCATTTAAATATATATAACTGACATACATATAGTATAAGTAAAAACTTGAATATTGTAGATAAGTAACATAAAATAAAAAACAAATATAAATATATTTCTTAAATGAAATAACTACATACCTATAATATTATATTAAATAAAAGTTATACGAAATATGTAAATTATTATACTTAAAATAAGAAAAACTGAATGTTGTTGTAAGAGAACAGAATAAAATAAATTTAATATAAATGTTACAAATATATGAAGAGAATGTTTTCATAAAATATACATATATAACTATTTCTAATTTATATAATATAATTTAATATCATATATAAGCGCAGAAATACCATTTCAATATACATTCAACCAAACATACAATAAGAAAAAAACTGACTTATTCACTGTATGTCAGCTTAAATACAACTACAATACTTACATATAGAAAAAGCATTAAATATGTATAGTAAATGTCTACAATATACAATAAAGCATTTAAGTATAATAAACAGTGTTTTCTATTAAGTTTAGTATATTATGTTAATTTATTAGTATATTATTATGACTATGCAGAAACGACATCAAGTTAATAGTATGTTCCGATAGCCAAATTTTCTTAATATCGTAAAAATGAAATTAAGTTAATTTCGAAAGTGTTCATACTGCACCCAATTAAGGAAATTAAATGTTTTTTGTTTAATAATCGAATGTTAAAAATTATATGCTAAAAACACGATTTGTATCTGGGAAATATTAAAATTGATTATTATAACTACAAAGTATGGCATTCTGTAGTTTCATTAGCTTTAGTGGATTTCAGATACGTGAATTATTATTTTTCATTCTATTTTAAATTAATAAGGATTGCAATTCTTTCTCTATATTCAAATTTAAAAATTTCCACTACTTTCAAAATATTTCCCAGTTTTATTATGTTAAAGTCAATTGTCATTGACATTTATTTAAAAAAAATGTCACTTTTTTCATTATCTCAGCTTTATCTTTTGCTTCAAATTTATCTTACGCATAGTTGCATTTGAAATGTCCCTTAATTTTAGCCTTCGTTTCAACGAAATTAAGCAATTTTTCTTAATTTCGTTCTAACCTTAAAACTGAATTTTGTATGGAAAAATTAACTTCATTTCCCTGAAACGAAGATTAAATTAAAATTTTTGCGGAATTAAGATGTGTGTGAACATGGTAAAAATACTATGTTACATTATTTGATATGATTGGATATATGGCCACAACTTATAGTGAAAGCAAGAAACTTGAATATCTCTGGAACTATTGATGAAAAGCAGAAGTAGCTAGTAGAAAAATTCTTATTGTTTCATATTTAATTTAATAAAGAATACTTTAATCTCTCAGAATAATTGTCGATGGTTGTAAGTACATGTATAAATTATCTGAGATAAATATTTCCAACTAAAGCACTGATGGCAAACATTTACCTACACATGGGTAGACAAATGTTAAGTGAAGAAATAATATTTAAGCAAAAATAAAAATAAATATATATGTATATAGAAGTCGATTAAAAAGCTAATATTGTCAAATATGATTTTTATTTAGCAACAACAAATCATTAATTTGTTTAACATGTAATACTAACAATACAAGTTTAAAGTCTCGCGAATCAATAACATTACTCGTTATGTGACTTGGGCTTACGGCTCTAAAGCAACTTCCACAACATTTTTCTGATAATAAGTTGCATTGACTTTGACACCACGCTCTATGAAAACTATTGGTGAGCATTCATCGGCGGTCACAGCTGCCCATACCACTACTTGAAATCGAAAGTTCCTTCGGGTGGGGCTTACGCGAACTTAGGCACTATCTCAAAGCATTATTACTAGATATAAGATTTTCGAGTATACTCTCGCATTTCACATTTAAATGACACTTCGATACGTCTTAAAATATATTTTTGTCTTCAAGTTAACTAAGAATATATCATAGTAAGTGAAAATCATTCTTTATATCTACGTTTCCAAAACATAACAGGGTTACACAGTTCCTTGTTTTTATTTATGTATTATCATTTTCATAAACATCAGAATAGTTTCTCCAGCTCTGTATCACATTTATATTTATA